GCATTTAAGTATGGTTACATTGTTTGCGGTATTTGGCTACTTTCTTGCGGTAAATGACTACTGAGGCGCGGTAAATGGCTACAAGTAGCCTTGTTACCGCCTTCAAGTAGTCATTTTACCGCAAAATGTAACCATTTACCGCAAAAAATGTAGTCATCTACCGCAAGATGTAGGCATTTACCGCATAAACAGTAGCCATTTACCGCAGGAAAGTTGCCATTCACCGCAAATATGTAGCCTATTACCGCAAGTATGTAGCCTACTGCCGCAAGTATGTAGTCTACTACCACGGCGGTAAGTGGCTACTTTCTCATGGTAAGTGGCTACTTTCTTGCGGTAAGTGGCTACTTTCTTGCGGTAAGTGGCTACTTTCTTGCGGTAAATGGCTACTTTCTTGCGGTAAATGGCTACTTTCTTGCGGTAAATGGCTACATTTATGCGGTAATTAGCTACATTTCGTGGAATTTGGCTACAGTAATGACAACAATAGCTAACATGTATACATATATCAAGAAAACAATAACTAACAATAACGGATTTTTTGGTATTGTGAACTATTACTTCAAAATTATATTCATATATGAGTAAAATAGTAACATTTGTTCTAACATGTCAAAACATTCTGATAATTTGTAGTTTTGAACCTTTACCGTGTTGAATTTTTCCATAAAACGTTGCTTCTAAGTGTTGGCACGTTAAAAATCAAGCATAGCGTGTCGGTATGGTACAAATCCAAACAATCTAAATAGTATTTCAATATTTTGTCCTCTTAATTGTATGTTATTTTTTTTCAAGTTTAAATAAGTAATACTTACCACTATCTTCTTTGTGTAATTTTTCTCTTTTTTCTCTTGCAATGTCAGAAACTAAACAAAATAAAACTAAATGAAGTGGAGAATAAAACAAAATACAGCTTACAACGAAGACATAGCAAACTTTACAAAGTGAAACTTACAAAGGGATAGTATAAAACTTCAGAAATACAAATCCTTGCTGTTGACAGTAATGTACCAAATTATGGAAATTAGAATTTGAAAAAACAACAATGTAATTCAGACCCCCAAACGAAAATTCTACTGTGTCAATATTATGAGTAAAACAGTGCATAAGAACATTAACAAATTGTTCATAAGAAGCCAAACATAGAAAACCGTATGGAAAAATAAAGCCATGAAAACTCATTATGAAGTAGTTATGAAGTCAACTGAAATCTGATGAATTTCTTGCATATTCCTAAAAAAAAAGTAATGAGTTCCATTGCATAAATTATCTTGAAAAGTTATTGAAATAATTCAGCCAATCAAATCACTCTGCTATCGTCATTAAATTACCAAGTAAACGTCATCACATATATTTGACAATACTTCCAAGTTTTATTTTCAATTTTAAACTATCAAAACATTTTTTTCAAGTAAATTTCAAAAGCTAGAAAATTAAAATGATAATAACTTTATTTTTTGAAAAAAAAATGATGAACATCTATCGAGAAATAAAGAAGTTTGAGAAAAAAATATATACTGACCTTTTTAGTGTTGTAAGCTCAAAATCTGAAGGGAAAAGAAAGCAAAACTAAAGAACAAGCCTTTATATACCCCTGTATCTAGCTTCTGATTGGTCGGAACTTTTCTGTATATTTTTTCTGGATAAATGTCATTATTTGAAAAAAAAGAGTAGTGTTTGCTAAATTTTCCAATTTATTTTATCAAAATCTATCGAGAAACAAAAAAGTTAACCAAAAAAATAACTATTAAACATCTATAATTGAAAATAAATTTAAGTAGCCATTACCGCATTTGGACTTTCATACCGAAAAAATGATAAGAAATCAAAAAAAAAAAAGTAGACATAGGGTTTGGATGATATTTGGCATAAAAGCGATTAGTTATGTTATATACATTGAGTAAAAATTTCAGAGCAATATCTTTAGATATATAAAAGTGACTTTGTAAAAAATATACATAAGAATTATGATCGTCTGTCTTGTATACCCCTTTACTAGTATCTGACGGAGAAACCTTACTTTTGATGCCCCACCCCCAATTTTTGGAGAGCGGCTGGGGTGCGTTTAGGGCTCAAATTGTATCACTTTCGGCTAACACTAAAGTGCCGTTAAAAAAATTTCTAACCCTTTTTCGGAACCCCTCAGGGTTAGCGGTAGAGTTTGGTAGCCCATAGCTTAAAATCCCCAAATCCCCGGCTAAGGGTTTTTGGGTGGATATCTATCCAATAGGGGGGCTTAGAGTTAGCCATCAAAACGCCCCAAACCCCCTACCCCTAATCCCTAACCCTGGCCCACTACCGCAGTCATGTAGCCACCACCATCATCCCTCTCATTAGGGTTAGGGTTAGGGTTAGGGTTAGGGTTAGGGGTTAGGGTTAGGGTTAGGGTTAGGGTTAGGGTTAGGGTTAGGGTTAGGTATCATATAGAGGGGGGCACCTGGGGTGTAGGCTGACTATTAAGGGTTGTGATATGGCTGGCGTATGAATATATGAGGGTTAGGGTTAACCCTAACCCAAATTAGGGTTAGGGTTAGGGTTTGGGTTAGCCGGATCTTTTTTTCTAACCCTAACCCTTTCAAGTGCGCATGCGCCGATATGTTTTGGATTCAAGGGTCCCCCTATAGTAATACATACTTAGTTGTATATATAGTAGTCTTTTTGTAACAATTTCCTGAAGAAGGTATGCCAAAATTTGCATATTGAAATTCAGGGGAGATAATCTGATAAGGCTTATAGGCAAACTTTGAAAAAATCGTATCTCTGTTGTTGACCGTCCGATTTTTAAACTGTTTAGCGTTTTGGAAAGGGAATTCAATTGCGCACATTTTGGTGTCTTGATATTGAAAATGTATCGGGGCATTCAAAAGTTATAGGTCGCCGAAGAAAACGTGTCAGAAACTGTGGTACAACGATCCCTAAATGTTAAGAAATGATAGCCTTTCATGAAGGAGTTTAAGTGTCAAGCTGCTATATTTGTTGTATTCATCAATATCTTGGGCCAATATTTACCCTTTTCCTTGAATATTCTCTACCGGCTTAATAATTTTATTCTTTATGTACCTCGCGATGAAAATTTTGTCAAAAATTAAGCGCTTCGTAAGTCTACGGTTATACTAAAACTTTTGTCGACAAGAATAAAAAGTGCCAATATTTCTTCTTTTGAATGATATTCTGGTACTGGCCTTATAATTGAGCACTTTTAAATACATCCTGATGGGTTGTTTGACATTAAATGGGAATGAAAACAAGTTTAAATAACAAAATTTGTTGTCGGTATCAACAAAAGGTGCCAATATCTTCCCTTCTTCCTGATTTTTCTGGTCCGGCATCATTATTTGAATCTCAGAATGAATGGTTTGACACAAATTGAGAGATTTATAAGTGTACGGTTACTAATATTTATGTCGCGAAACAATTAAAAGCGACACTATTTCATCTTTGTTCTATTATTCTTGTACTGGCCAGGTAATAGAGGCCATTTGATACATTCAAATGGATTGTCAGACATAAAAGTGAAAGAATAAATGTTTTGAAGTGCTATATTTGTTGCATTCAGCAATATAGGGTGCCAATATTGACCATTTTCTTGGTTATTACTTACCGGCATTAACATTTTATCCTTTCGGTACCTGAGGATTGATAGTTTTACACAGGTTTGGAGTCTACGGTTAATAAAACATTTGTCGACAACTATAAGAATGCATAATTTGACAACAATTAAGAGATTTATATGTGTACGGTTACTGATATTTATGTCAATACAAACTAAAAGTGACAATATTTTATATGTTGTATGATATTTATGAGTTTAGGAGGATTTGTATTTGTTGTCTGCATCTATAAATGGTGCCAATATCTATCCTTTTTGATGATACTTGTGTGCCAGCATGAACATTTTATTCTTTTGATGGATAATTTGACACTGTATAAGTCTACGGTTACTTATATTTGTGTCGATAACAATAAAAGGCGACAATATTTCTTTCTTTTTGATGATACTTTTGTGCCGGTATAAACATTTCATCATTAGGATGGATAATTTGACACTGTATAAGTCTACGGTTACTTTTTTTGTGTCGATAACAATAAAAGGCGACAATATTTCTTTCTTTTTATTGATATTCTTGTACCGGCTTGGTAATTGAGTACTTTTTGTACCTCAAAATTGATTGTTAGACATTAGAGTGAAGGATTTTAAGTTTCAAATGCTATATATGTGTTGTACTCATCAATATAGGGTGTCAACATTGACCTTTTTCAAAGTCTGAGTGCGCATGCGCGACATGCCTTGGATACAAGGGTTCCCCCCATTAGCATATGTGTACTGAGTGCTTTATATAGTAGGCTTTGTGTAATAATTTCCTCAAACAAGTTGACACAAAATTTGAATTCAGGGAAGATAATCCAATTAGGAATATAGGCAAAGTTTGAAAAATCGTAGCTCCGTTGTTTGCGGTCCGATGTATAAACTGTTTAGTGTTTTGGAAAGGACATTTAACTGCGAAAATTGTGCTGACTTGATAGTGAAAATAAAATGTGTATAGCCGTTAAAGAAGACTTGGGTATTTGTTTACATATCAGACGTAGTAAGGAATACGGGAGGCTATATGGCAAACTTTGAAAAAATCATAGCTCCGTTTTTAACCGTTTGATTTACAAAATGTTTAACGTTTTGGAAAGGACATTCAATTGGGCAAATTGTGCAGTCTAGGTTTGGAAGATCAGTTCAGGCATTCAAAAGTTATAGGTCGATAAAGAACACATGGGTATTTGTTTACATATTAGACGTAGTATGGAACACGGAAGTGTACATGGCAAACTTTGAAAAATC